GTTGTCTTATCTATATTTTAAATTGTTCTAGTTTAATAATCTTTTAAGAGGTGGGGATTGTAATTGGATGTATTTATTGATGTTTTTATTGTTGTAAGCTGCCCCAATTGCGCTACAGAGGGGCAGGATAGAAATAAATTTTATTATTATTATTATTTAAAAGGCAATGGAAACAACAACACCTTGAGTACCTATATTGGGAGAAAGGTGGAATATAAGTAATAAAATAAAAATAATACTAATAATACACAGAAGAGTGATATAATTCATAGGGGTTGCCATAAGTTGAAGGCAGTTGAAATCAATAACAATAACCACAACAAACTTTCTTTTCAGTCACTGGCTCTTCTGGAGATGGCCATCTCTGCCCACTGCAGCTTCCTGATCACAGCCTACACCTAGACACAAACACACAAAGAGAGAGGTGCCAACGTCACCATGCTCTGTGAGGTGGCAGAAGTCTAAAAGGTGTGGGATCTGAAGATAGAAAAACAGTGCAGGGGATCAGAGGAAAGCAGGAAATAAATAAGGTTTGGGGTGGAGGTTGAGGCAGACATGGAAAGAAAGAGAACCATTATGGCAGAAAACAAAAGGGATGATGGAGAAGGGGAAATAGTTGACAGGTTGGAAGGAAAGCAAAGAGGAGAGAGAATATATTGGAGAGGGAGGCAAAGGAGATGTGATGAGAACAGTAAAAAGAGAAAAGCAGAACCAAGCAAAGGGAAGAAGCCCTGCAAGCCACTTGGGGCTACCTGGCACCACCTACGGCTGGTACAACTCTGGAATAGCATCAGTGCAAACAGTGAAATTCTCGTAAAATGTAATAAAATATTCAGGCTGCAATCCTGTTTCTGCTATAGAAGTAAACAGTAAACATATTGAGACTTTGTCTCAGGAAACAACAGTACAAAACAAAGCAGTTCCCTTTAAAATTGTATTTTAAAATTTATTTGAATATTTATTTACCGTACTTGCTTACTTGCAAAACTGCATGAAGCACAAATTGGCCCTTAACGAGATGTACCAAGAAGACTATATAACTGGGGAGTGGGGGTGAGGTGGGATATAAATCAAATAGTGTAAATATACATAAATAAAAGTCAATCAAGGCCACAATCCTTTTTTACATCATTAATCTACTGATTATATTTGCATAAAACTATATATGGATAAAAATTCCTGAAGTCAGAAGCATGTTTTCTTTGTAATTGGATTGTGCAGATCTGTATGATAAGAAATATAACAAAGAGTACATCTACACTGTAGAAATATTGCAGTTTGACACCACTTTAAATGCTGTAGCTCCATCCTATGGAATCCTGGTTTCATAGTTTTACGTGGTGTTTAGCGTTCTCTGCCAAAGAGTGCTAGTGCTTCACAAATCTACCAGTCCCAGGGCTCTGTAGGATGGAGCCATGGCAGTGGTGTAAAACTGCATTATTTCTACAATGTAGATGCATGCCAGGAACACTTGCATGTTATAGTGCTCTGAGTGTTGGAGTAGGATTCTGGAGGCCAGGGTCCAATTCCATCCCAGCTGACCCATGAAACCCACTGGGTGACCTTGGGCAAGTCACACTCTCTCAGCCATAGGGGAAGGCAATGGCAAACCTCTGAACAAATCTTGCCTAGAAAACCCCATGATAGGATCTCGCCTTAGGGCTTTCAGTAGGAAAGGACTTGAAGGCACACAACAAGAACAAGAAGACACACCCTGAGAGACTTTCCTCTGTAGAATCATTGAATCATAAGAGTTGGAAGAGACCCCAAGGACCACCCAGTCCAACCCCATTCTGCCATGCAGGAACACACAATCAAAGCATCCCTGACAGATAGCCATCCAGCCTCTGTTTAAAAACCTCCAAAGAAGGAGACTCCACCACACTTGGAGGTTTGTAGAAAGAGAAAAGAGGACTTCTCCTCTTTTAAGTGTTAGTAAGCTGTAAGATTTTTTTTTTTAAAAAAAAGAGTACTTGTATTTGCTGTGAAAAAATTAAAAACCTGCTTTTTGATTAATTGGGGGGCAAACTGTAGTCAATTAGAAGTTCTTCCAATCGATTAACCTTACTAATCACTCTATTAAACACGGCAGTCCTGGGATCAATACATCATGTTGACTGAACACGGGAGAGCTCTGTCAACGCTTGTGACTAAATAATTCATGGGCAGAGGCTGGCCTGCTGAATATTTTCCTAGAAAAAGGCTGGGTTCCACACATACCTATATAACTTTGTTGTGTTGTGTGGCTTCAAGTCATATCCAGCTTATGGTGACCCTAAGGTGAACCTATCATGGAGCTTTCTTGGCCAGATTTGTTCAGAGGAGGTTTGCTATTGCCTCCTCTGAGGCTGAGAGAGCATGACTTGTTTTCTTGGCAAGTGTCTTCAGAGAGGGTTTGTCATTGCCTTCTCCGAGTCTATGACTTGCCCAAGGTCACCCAGTGGGTTTCTGTGGCTGATCAGGGAGTCTAAAACCCATAATATATGTTGTTGTTGTGTTGTTGTTGTGTACCTTCAAGTTGTTGCCGACTTATAGCACCCCTAAGACAATCTCATCATGGGGTTTTCTTGGTAAGTTTCTTCAGATGGGATTTCCCATTACCATCCTGTGAAGCTGAGAGAGTGTAACTTGCCCCATGGGTTTGCATGGCTGAGCCAGGATTTCAATCCTGTTTTCCAGAGCCTAGTCCAACATGCAAACCACTACACCAGGGCAGGTTCTTTATATGGTTTAGTTCATCAGCATTAGAGATGAAATTGAGAATTCCTTTCTCGGTGTCATTTCATCCATGTCAGTAATTCCCAATTCCTAGAATGGATGCATTCCTAAAATATACCCTGTTTGTGTGTGTTAGAGCTTGGAAGGACCTGAGGAATACTTCCCAAGAGAGCCAGCATGGCATAGTGGTTTGAGCATTGCATTACAACTCTGAAGACCAGGGTTCAATTTCCAGCTTGGCCGTGGAAACCCACTGGGTGACCTTGGGCACATCACGCTCTTTCAGCCTCAGGGGAAGGCAACGGCAAACCTCCTCTGAACAAATCTCACCAAGAAAGCCTCATGATAGGAGCCCTGGTGGCGCAGTGGTTAAATGCCTGTACTGCAGCCATTCACTCACAAAAAACAAGGTTGTGAGTTCAATACCAGCCATGGGCTCCAGGGTCGACTCAGCCGAGTGCCCAGCTTGTTGGGGGCAATTGGCTTACATGCTGTAAACTGCTTAGGGAGTGCTTAAGTGCACTGATGAGCAGTATAGAAATGTACTAGCTATTGCTATTGTTAGCTTCTCCTTGGTCACCAAAGTCAGAAACGAGTTGAAGGCACACAACAACAAACAACCATCCTCTCTGGAGAGAGGATAATCGTGCTTGAGAGACCTCAGTTCACTGGCAAGGCACATGCTTTTTTTGGATACCAAGTTCCAGCCCCTGTTATGTCCAGGTAGGGCTGGGAAGGACTTCTACCTGAAAGCCTGAGGAACTGCTCCCAGAGAGTGGCATCTGTAGGGTTGGCATCACCCACTGTGGTAACTTATGGTATCGCCCCCCCCCCACACCCATTTATCTCCTTCCACACCACACCATACATAATTCTTAGCAATGTTTTTTGTCCTAATGTTGTTCATAAATCATAATTCCCATATATCACACTGGATGTAATGGCAATAGTTGTGACATAAACAACTAGCAAAATTAAAAATATGTGTTTAAATTACAATATCATACTCACAGCCTAAGTGTATTTATGGAAAGCCAGCCTGCTGTAGTGGTCTGAGTGTTGGATTACAACACTGGTTCAATGCCTGCTTAGCCATGAAACCCACTGTGTGACCTTGAGCAAGTCATACTCTCTCAGCCTCAGGGGAAGGCAATGGCAAACCTCCTCTGAAAAAATCTTGCCAAGAAAACCCCATCATAGATTTGCCTTCGGATTGCCATAAGTCGGAAATGACTTGAAGGCACACAACAACAATATATATTATGGGTTTTGGACTCCTTATTCAGCCACAGAATCCCACTGGGGTGACCTTGGGCAAGTTACACTCTCTCAGCCTTAGGGAAGGCAATGGCAAATCTCCTCTGAAGAAACTTGTCAAGAAAACCTCACTTGAAGACTTGATGACACAGCAACAAACAAATGTATTTATATGCTCATAGTGTCATGTGGTTAAAGTGAAAATATGTTAAGAGGTGATATTTTTAAAGAAAAAATTAAAATATTTTTTTTAAAAAATAAATTTTAATTTAAAAATTAAAAAAAAAAAGAACCTGGGGGCTCTCCTTTCTCCTCCCACTGAGCCTCACTCCACTCACACCATCTCTTCCACTGACCTCCAGCATTTTAATGGGACACAAATACCAAAGCCCATTTCTGCCAAAGGACAGTGGTGTCACCCCCATTAGGATGTCACCTGGTGCAGCTGCGTCCCCTGCACACTCCTATTCATGCTCCTGCTCCCAGGTAGTGTAGCCCAGCCTTACCCAGCTTGGTGTCTTCCAGAGGTGCTGCGCTGCAAGCCCTGTCACTCCATTGACATGAATATGCTGATTGCGGATGATAGGAGCTATAGTTAAGGGCTGCCCCAAGGGCTCATGCAGACAATTCCAAGCTGGACTGGGAACATTTGAGGCTGCAAGCAGAAACAGACTTATTGAAGAATAAATCTCACTGAACCAGTGGGACATGCTCCTGAGGCAGCATATGTCAGGATTGCTCATCCCGGTGCGTCAGTCACATTTGAGGAAGAGAAGCTGCCAAATTACCTGTCCTCAGAGGACGATCTCAATTATGTTGTTGTTGTCTTCAACTTTCCAACCTCAGGCAACTATCATGGGGTTTTCTTGCAAGATTTGTTGCATGCCCCTTCCTTTGAGGCTGAGTGTGTGACAGTACTTGCCTTAGGTCACCCCATGGGTTTCCATGGCTGAGTGTGGATTCAAGCCACTACACCATGCCAGCTCTTTGATTATGTAATTAAAAAGTAAAGGTATTCCCCGTTGACAAGGTTGTCAAGTTGTGTCTGACCATAGGGAGTGGTGGTCATCTTCAATACTAATCCAAAGAGCCAGCGTTGTCAGAGACTACTCTGTGATCATGTGTCCAACATGATTGCACAGAATGCTGTTTACCTTCCCACCGAAGTGATACCTATATATCTATTTGCATTTGCATGCTTTCAAGCTGCTAGGTTGGCAGAAGCTGGGACTAGTGACAGGATCTCACCCCATCATGCAGCATCTTGCAGATAATGTAATTGCTTCCCTTTAAATGAGAGACCTGCCTGTGTCTTGTTGAAACACAGATACAATGGTTTCCTCAAAGGATGGGTCTTCCTCTCATGCAGTGTAAGGAAGCAAACAATTGGGGCTGTCAAAATGAATACTGCGTTCAGTTTTAATTAAGGGGGAAATATGTGGCTCTGCTATCAGACCTGTTAACAAGCATATAATTATAATGTTATGTGGGAGAATATATATATTCCTGTTGGAGTAGTAGACTTTGTTCAGCTGGGAGTACATGGATTGGGCAGTGAAATATGTGGCTGGGGACAATGATATTTTCACAGCCACAAAGTATATTGCCTTTTAACTAAATGGTTCAGAAATTTAAATATGTGACATACCTTCCAAACCCATAAGTTAAAACTGCATATTTATAGTAGGGGTAGGAAATGTCCCAGGTGATTGTGTTAATCAATTTGCTTTTTATTCCTCTTGTAAAATAGATGATCCAACTTGGTAAATACCGTAGTTGCCTATATGCATACTATATACTGTCTGTTTTTCCCTACCTCTGAACATTTAGGTTCAGGAAAAGTTCTGTGAAATTGACATACTTGCCATTTTAAAACTGGTGGTCCAAATAACATTTCTTCTCATTGCCTGAATGTATTTTTGGTTGCAGCAAAGACATTTTTACTAAAAAAATAAAATAAAAGATATATCTATTGCTTCCATTCTGTTTGGTCTGTTTTGCTACATTTGGAGCCAAGTGCCACTTCCTGCCTGATTACAGTTCTTGGTGATCTTTCCTTCAGCAGGACATGTAGGACATGTAATGCCAACTTATGTGGGTTGCATATTGTAATCTCTATTTTTGAGCCCACAGCACTGTGATTCATATGCTGTTTTCTCTGTCTGCATTTAGACAGGAACATGTGGCATTTTCAGTGGCGTGCCAAATGTAGTCATGCTGGACAGATACCAAATTTAGAAAATTCCCAATAACTAGGAACAAGGAAATAGCCCCTGACCTTGGATGTCCACTATTCCTACCCACACCTCTCTAAAATAACCCTCTTATTCTCCAGGATATTAGATGCAGAACTGTAACAGGTAAAGAAGTTGCTGTAATTTCATTGCCCTGCATGGAAAAAACAAAGCACCAGCTACTAAATTTTGGTATTAGACAAGTGCTAAAGGCATAGAAACCTTATCATTAAAAAGTTGCCTATCATATAGAGAAATTATATCTAATCAGTTATTTCCCAGTCTCTTACAAATTGATTTATAATTGTATTATTTAACTTTGTTTTTTAACAGATAAATGTCTTATTTGCAAAGCTGGGCTGTGCATCACTGGGCTGTATCATTAGCATCCAATCAAATTAGACAAAATAAATTATTGAAATTTGTTATTTAGTTATTATACTGCTTTCAAATTATCTGATTAATCTTTTATTATGATCTTGTGATAATCATTGTTATAGGTTTACATATTTGGAACTTTTAATGGTAAATTCTGTTCAAAGTTGATGTATCTAATGTCTAAAAAGCAAAGGTTGGCCTAAATACCGTATTTTCCGGCGTATAAGACGACTGGGCGTATAAGACG